GCAGGGGGTTGTATATCGATTGTAATCTAGGGGATTACTATCGATATATAGCACCTTTTAAATTTTGCTGATGATATGTCTTATACCTGCTACCTATCACAATTAATTTTCTTTAATACTTGGATATTTTTTCTAATAATGGTCAGGTATTTTATATAACAAGCACTTGCATTATAATTTTAAGCTTGCTTTTCTAGCACAATTTTGCTTATATTTTGCTTTTTTGACATTTCTATAACACTTTTCATTCTTTTTTTACTCAGTGCATCTCAAATTTTTGTGACATGCAGATCATTTGTTTGATCAATCAAATGCTATTATAAAGAAGTAATACCATCTTTATCTTGGGTTTCATTATTATCAATTTTTTCTAAATTAATATTATTTATGCTTTGCTTAGTTGAAATAAAGTTTTTTAGCAGTTAAACTAATTCATCATCACTTTTAGTTTTCAAAGCAATATTAATTGCAGTTTTAGATATTGAAAATACAACTCCAAATTTATTTCTTTTAAGAATAACTTGCTAAATACTTGCGTAATTACTAGAACTTTGAAAATTCTTTAGGCTTTGAAGATTTAAGTTTACTTCAATTGCAGTATCTATAGACAACTCTATTGCTATAAGGGATGATGAGTTTTTAAGTACTTGATCCAATTTTATAAAAATATTATCTTTATACTATCTAATTGGTATAATACTAATATAAAATCTTGCCATGCTAGGGTAAAGCATAACCCACTAAAAATGCTGACAAATAATTCCTTTTGTTATCATTTCTATGCATGTGTATATATAGAATCTGTTATTAAAAAGAACTACTAAATTTTTTTTATACGAAATTCCTCCTATTCTATGAATTTTCTACATTTTTTTAATGTTTGATATATCATTGTCATGTAAAATAGCTTTTAATATCGCTTGTGGTTCATCAACTATATTCTCTATAAAATAATCATCTATAGTATCAAAATATAAATCCTATAACAAAAATAAATAAGTATACTAGCTTTATATATACTACATCGTAAATCTACAAATAAAAAACATACTTCAGATATCATATACTCTTTTTGTCCTTCATAAGTGAAAGATTGTGAAATTTGAAATCATTGTAGAGATAATATAAGTGTGTTAAAAAATTGACAAACACATGATCAATAGTTGAAAAAAATTAAGAAAAGATATGCGGAAGTTCAATTGATTTATATTGTGTCTTAATGTTCATTAATTTGCAGTATCTAATTTCTTATTCATGTCTTTTATCAATTGCTTCACCAACTTCACAAAGCGAACTAGCATTATTAAAAGACTTTTTAATAATATTATTGAACGATTCAACGTGTTGAGTACTCTGGATGCTATTGTTAAATTTGAATAGTGTATAAGCCTTAGCCTAACTAAACTTATTTGCATATAATTTTTTAGACATATAACGCTCACATTCTGAAAAAGTCTTTATCATAGATTCTTATCATTATTCAAAAATTTTAATACTTAATGAATTGTAATATGAATAAAAAGCCTGACTAAAAAAAAA